GAGCTCATCTCGCCAACCGGACGGCTTCAGGGTTATGGAATCAGCAAGAAAGCAAGCTCCATATAAACATGTTAGAGATGAAAGCGGTAATCAACGCCATACTTCATTGGAGCAACATTCTGCAAAAGGCGCATCTGATGATTCATACCGACAACTCGACAGTGGCGTTTTATGTGAACAAACAAGGCTCAACGAGATCACTGAACCTATTGACTTTATGCTTTCAACTGTTCGATCTAATCGACGATCTCAACTTACATGTCAGAGCATGTCACATTCCCGGAGCCAAGAATGTACTAGCAGACGCACTCTCTCGGCCACATCTACCGTCACCGACAGAATGGATGCTCCATACAGAAATCTTTGCACAGATTATCAAGCAAATAGGAGCTCCGCTAGTAGATCTATTCGCCACTCGCTTCAACAATCACCAGTCCCGGATCCACGAGCGTGGGCAACGGACGCTCTAAGCATATCCTGGGAAGGCCTCAATGCGTACGCGTTTCTGCCGCCAGCGCTAATCCCTCAAGTGTTACAGAAAATCAGACAAACACAGAGCCTCCAACTCACTTTGGTCGTGCCCTACTGGCCAGCCAGAACGTGGTTTCCCATTCTAATTCAAGAAATCGGACAACCAACACTAGAGCTACCAAAGCGCTCGAATCTATTAGTACATCCACACACCAAACAGGTGCACGGAAACCCAGAAGTATTCCAACTTCACTTATGGACTGTATTAAAATGTGTTTAAACAAGAGAGGTTATTCAACCAGAGCGGCAAAAGCAGTCACGCTTTTTGCCTTACGCTTATTCTACCGAACTTGTAATACGACGACAAGTGGCACAGTTTCGAAAATTACGCAGCTAAAAGGGATTTACAGCGAGAAATGCTACACATCCACAAGTGGCTGATTATTTGTGTTACCTACGCCAAAACAAACATTTAAAAGGCTCGACACTGTCAACATATCTTGCCGCGCTTAGTTCTGTGATAACTATGAGAACGGGTGTCAAGCTAACCAAGACGCCAGAGTTACTGGCCTTACTACGTGCTTTCCGATTGGAAGATCAGAAACGGAAGTTCCACGCCCCAGCTTGGGATCTTAATATAGTGCTCCAACACCTCACAAGTGAGGCTTATGAACCGTTGGAATCGACAACCTTTGAATTTCTCTCACAGAAAACCTTGTTCCTGTTATCTCTAGCGACGGCAGCCAGGATGTCAGAAATTCACGCACTAGATTATGAGAGGATACAGTTTGATGACAATCAAAACACAGTGCACTTGGGACTAAGATGGGATTTCATCGCCAAAAATCAATTGCCAGGTCAACCAGACAGATTATTCCATATTCCTGCACTCTCCTCAATTCTCGGATCTCAAGATACACTGGACTTATCTCTATGCCCAGTCAGAGCTCTCAAAATCTATCTACGACGTTCCAAAACAAGGCGACGACTTCTCAAACGATTATTCATCCCTTTATCGGCTACAACTCAGACAGAAGTCTCTCGTACCACCATATCTATATGGATAAGAACTGTCATACTTCGCGCCTACAAGGCTGCAGGACTCGACCCTCCAAGAGCATCTAATCCCCATGAGATCAGGGCATTGGCTTCCACACTCGCTCTACATGGTAACTGTTCATTAAATACCATCATGGAAGGCTGCTTTTGGAAATCCGACATGGTGTTTGCTAATCACTATCTGAGAGATATCACCGATATCACCACCGAGGACGTCTCAGGTATTCACCATTTCGGTCCCATGGTCCTCGCACAGCAGTTGACAGTCCCTCGTAGACGTTAACACATAGTCTTACGAGATTATTATGTATATTTCATACCAGTATTATCTAGCTTATAACTCTACGGAGTTTTAGGGCTATTTATATGCTTAGCTTAAGTCTACTCAGCCTTAAACCCAGTACTGATGGTTATGTACAGTTGGGTAGCTTCTCCATGTTGGAGTCGCTTTTTTATACCTGTATTGCTATTATCATAGTAGATTATTATTGTAATACCCCATCTATGGCAGTGTATAAACTTATGGTTTATAGTAGCAGGAATTATTCTAAGTCAGTGCCATTATAAAGTTCCCGTAAGGGGGTTATTACAGTTATATATATATAAATCACTAATTAATTTTATAAATCCAAAGTATTCTGTTCTTTCCCACCTCCGTTTCCGTAGGATTCTACAAGCAAAAGAGCATGAGTCAGGATAAGGAAAAATATGTAATTTTTAGAGTAAAATTGATATTTTATACTTATCCTGACTCATGAGGTAAGCCCTCCCATCCTCCCCACATAACACTTTGGATTTCCCTGTAAATTCAAGTGTTGGGCTCGCTATATCAGGAGAGAGTGAAGCATGAGGCCAGAAGGTGGCGCCGCCTTTCCCGCGCAAGGGCAAAGGGAGGCAACTCTTGGTGAGTACTAATTAGTGATTTTACATTGAAGGGAGCTTCAATTAAGGAGATACAAGTGTTCCACTATGTTCGCAAGAAGAAGAAGACAAGCAAAAGAGCAGGAGTCAGGATAAGTATAAAATATCAATTTTACTCTAAAAATTACATTCTTGTAATTGAGCAAATTGATTAACTACACTATGATTTATTAATAAGGAATTCATTTATTTATCAGTATCATGGAGTAATAATTCATACAAAAAATCCTCAGTAATTATTGCCACTACAAGCAATATATTAGGATTCAGATATTACGAAAATATAAATATAGAATATTAGTTTCATCATGATCACTAATAGTTTAGAGAAAGACACTAGTAATAAAGATGGAAAGAGTAAGTTGTAACGTACATTTGATTTTATTCTTCCGTTTATTCAATTTGTGTAATTATTATCTTGAAACATCGTTACTTTGCTCTTTGACAACTCTGATGTGGACCCGTTGCCAAAGCATGTGTCCAAGAATCGCTTTTTTCAATAACATTGCGAAAAATAGTTTATAATTCTAATTCTGTCGATTATATATGGCCATTTTAAATGTAATAAGTGTTTTCAGACATTATGAAAAGTTATAGATTTGATAAATGAATCATATGTTAGTTAGGTTCCTAATAATATATATCATTTTGATGCGACTACTGCCTGGCCGGTTTTCCGGCCTATGGTGTCTGGGGACTAGTGATGCCTTGGCCGGTTTTCCGGCCAACGGTGTTGAATGGGTTAAAGCAATAAAAACAGACATACTATTCAAAAAGGTGTACGTTATGGCTACATAGTATACAAGTTGTTTCTACATAAATCCTATCCTGAGGTAATAAGGACTTATCTCTTAGACACTCTATTCAGTAAGACAAAAGCTATGTCTACACTGTTTAATAAATTGCTTTTTATTTTATGAAGTAAACATGTCATCACATACATCACTTACATTCTAATGTCATTGTCAAGCAAGTGTTGACTTTAGAATAAAAAAGTTGTATATCCATAAAAAAACATATCATCTTTCTTCATCGCCTCATCTTCTAAAATGCCCATGAAAGAAGTCTAGATAAATAGTTAGGAAATCCAAATGTTAGTCTCTAGGGTTTAGACTCTCCCAACACAGGTAAGCTTTAGCCCTCAGCCCAGAGGGTTGTACCGACTCTCTGTGGCCACCCCATGTTATCCTGTTCTTGTTAATAAAATTGTGATTAGCTTCTTGTGACTTTGGACTCTTTGGGCTAATTTCCTCACCATACCAGCACGCCATTTAAGAGGGGTTTCACCAGGAACCTCAGTGGACCCTATACGGGGACCATTATATCAGCCTCAATCCACCCATGTTTGGGCAGCAGTACTGATTTTCTATTAACAGTCTCACATATGCCATCACAGAACTAATCTGATAGTTTGTTTAATGATATTTCATGAATACTCCAATAGTGCACAAACTCAAATGGCCTGTCCCTTCAGACAGGGGCGGTGGGGTTGCCTAGTGGTTAAATTGTTCGCTCGTCACGCCGAAGACCCGGGTTCGAATCCTCACATGGGTACAATGTGTGAAGCCCATTTCTCTTGTCCCCGCTGTGATATTGCTGGAATATTGCTAAAAGCGGCGTAAAGTCATACTCACCCACCCACCCTTCAAACAGGTGTTAATTGGAGAAGGTATTCTTCAACAACCCATGCTTGCCACAAAAGGCGACTATGCTTGTTGTAAGAGATGACTAACGGGATCGGGTGGTCAGGCTCGCTGACTTGGTTGACACATGTCATCGGTTCCCAGTTGCGCAGATCGATGCTCATGCTGTTGATCACTGGATTGTCTGGTCCAGACTCGATTATTTACAGGCTGCCACCATATAGCTGGAATATTGCTGAGTGTGACGTAAAACTAAACTCACTCACTCACTCACTCCCGGCATGAGATCATTTTTTGTGACATGCAATAAACTCTGTTCTGTCAATCAGTGTGTCGGGCACGGTTGGTTGATTGGTTGGTTGGTTGGTTGTTTGTGTAATGCCGGACGTAGTCAGCAATATTCCAGCTATGTGGTGGCGGTCTGGACCAGACAGTCCAGTGAGCATCAATCTAAGCATCTGGGATATGAATATGATGACATGTGACAACCAAGTCAGAGAGCCTGACCACCCGATCCTGTTAGTTGCCTCTTACATCAAGCATGGGTTAAAAGTTTCTTCAGTGAAGTGGAGATCAGGACATGTCAGGGATGAGGCTGTCTCTCTTTTTGTGTTTAATGTAAACCTTTTACAAGTTCGATTTGAACTTATGTCTCAAATATCTCTGATGAGCCTAACTGAAATGCTGAAATGGATGATTTGAAGGTATGGAATCATGTGACATGTAAAGTGATGCTCTGCCATTATTTCCTGTGATGGGTGAACATGTTGAAGTAAGAATTTGCTTGTTTTGAAAAACAGAATGAAAAGGATATGTAATGGGGTGGCATTTAGTATTTATTTACCTATATAAGTAAGTATCTGTCAAACATGTATATGCTGTAGTTTCTCCTGCCTGTTCGAATAGGATGTGAATCTGATGGAGGAGCATCTTATTCCACGAAAACACCTGCCACCATTGCTGCTGAAGTTGAGTGAACGAAAAGCAGAAAAACTTGACTATCTTGGGGTGTCTTATGGACTGACAGCTAACCTGCTGAGGTAAATCATTATAGATATTCCTATTGGAAGTTCTAGGAATTTTTGAGTTGGAACAACTTGAGTGAGAATGTTTGTGTGTGAGCTGAGATATAATGATATTCAGCCAAAGTATAATTCTTACAACTACAAAACCTACAGTTCATAAGAAATCCCATATTGTGCCTATCCATCACACTGTAAATCTTTTCCATTTTATGAGTAGTCCTCTATCTCCATGTGAAGCTATCCATAACCAGTTGAAATTTGTATAGTGAGGTGAGGTGAGGTGAGGTGAATTTGGGTTTAACGTCGTGCTTGAAAATATTTCGCTCCTATGACGACGTGAATGCGTGTGTATGTGTATATGCGGCTGCTTGTACTAGCCCAGACTGAAGCTGGTTTTGTAGTGCAGCCCACTCAGACACATTATACTGGCTCCGAGCCGACCAGTCCTTGATGTACCCATTAATGCCGAGCACCAGGCAGGGACCAACAAGTACCATATTTTAACGCCATTTGGTATGACGTGGTCAGGGATCGAACCTGCGACCTTCCGCTCTTCTGCAACACGGAGGTGTCGAAATTTGTATGGCATGCTACAGGGAAATCTGCATTTCTCTTCTCTTGCTTGCTCCTTACCAAAGGCTTCTGGTTCAGTTCTCAGCTAACATTAACAAGCAGCATCCACAATGTCATATTGGCCATTCAGGATACACAATTGAATATTTATTGAAAGGCGAGGATCCTCCATTCTACATCCCTTCTGATAAAATAATCATAGTCGAGCATGCTTGAATGTTAATTTGCCAGCACAAGACAGAAGTATTTCGAGTTTTGTTGATGCAGGAATATTTTTAAATAACAGTAGTTCTCATTTAAATATCTTTATATAAAGACATATATCAGTGTTTAAATACTGATGTACATATGTAGTTGTTTTATATTGGTATATGATATTAACTGTGATTGTTAACAGTTGTTCCTTTGATGAGGTTGGATGTTGTGTCAAATTATTGTCCCGTAGATGAGGATATTTGTAAGTCCATTCAAAGAATATTTGTACCTACCATTGATGTAATATATGACAGCATATTTCGTTATATAAATTGGCTGAAGTTGCAAACAATCGCCAGTAGCCAGGGGAATGGTACAATTCCTGTTGGTGTGCCATGCAAGAAGCATAGGTAAAATAAGTCCTCATGGTCACAAGTATAGTGGAAGAACTTTGCTTGATGGCATTCTGTAGCTTATTTCTATTTCGTGCTTTTATCTTATCTTTATTCACCAAGATATCAAAACTAGTTTTAATAGTGGTAATCTAGTTATTGTACTGTCCATTCCATGACAAGTTTTTGAAATATTTTCCTAATTATGTGCATCTAGTAAAGGATGTTTGACAGACTGGCACAAGCACAAGAGGTTTGTGAAGGGAGGTACATCGAGAGTTGACTTGACAGTGAAGTGTATTTCTGTTAAAAAATTTAAGGTATGTAGTGAAGTGACTGAAAATACAGAATTGGTGGTAATGATGTATTACAGAGACTATTATCTGAATTCTTATTAGCAATTATAACTACTGTTTGATATTTAATTTTTACAGATTTTGGAAGAAAGCTGGGTTTTCGATGGTTTATCTTAGACAAACAGCGGTAAGTAAAAGTCAGCTCTTCCTGAGTGTTGAACATCTTGTTTTGAAAACTATTTGATCGATTTGTTTGTAAATGTTTTATTAGTAATCCTCAGTACAGATACATTGTTTTGTGCCAGATGTTGAGCAAGAGATCCTTCTTTCTCCAGTTGTATATGCATCTCGGGGGTTGTACAATCCAAGGATCCTGGATCCCCAACAACCTGTGTTGGTCCTAACAGGAGACAAAAATGATATGACAAAGTTCTTAACCTGTTGTCCAACCCCATGACATAGATCGCTGTTCACAGCAAGGCTCAAGCTGCATGCTGACATCATATAGCTTGAATTTTGCTGACTATGGCATTAAAAAACAATGAAACTCCAAGGTTATGTAAATTTAAAACCTGTAAAAATTCTCATTATGCAGATAAACTAGGCAAGTACTTTTCTCATTTTTAGATCACCTCACTGGTGGTCACCTTAGCTTGATATTTCAAGTGTTAGTGTGTGGGTCTATTAACACCATGTCTTAAAATTTTTCTAGAAGCACAGACTTGTTCCCATCAATGCAAGGTGGTCGAGCTGTCTGAAGCACCGCACAAGTAAGCGAAAGGTGCCTGGATCGATCCCCACTTGTGACTGGGTGTAAAAACCTTGGAGATAACATTACTTGCAGGCTCTTTCATAGACTAACGCTTAGTCTCTGAATATATCATTTTGATTGTAACAAATAAACCCATTTAAATTGAATAGGAGCCCAAGGCAGACCAGAGATTCCTGAACCTTGGGAAATCTAGACTTGCTTCAGCACTGCAGGAAACTTTAGCACTGCAGGGAGGGCCAGGCTGTAGGGAAAATAATAAGGTTCAGGGACTGTGAGACAGACTAGCTCTTTCAGTGTTATCACAACCCCTAGTGTGCAGTACACAACCCTGTCCACCCACTCATCTGATGGTAGGTGACCAGATGGTGGACACGAACATGTGCAGACACCTAGTTGCTGGTATAGTAATGTGCAGTATCACACGACAAAATACTGTGACTATGTGTCCCAGTTCACCCTGCTGCAAATGGCTACCTTGTGAGGATGAGACTGTGTGATAACTCGCTGTGCTTAACAGGCTGCGTGAGTTGAATACTCCCCAGGGAGTTACGTTGGTTAAAAGAGTGCCAGATAAAAGACATCCGTTGATCAAGGGAACACTCCAGCGCCTTGAGCATGTACTAGTTGCATGGATATGTGAGCTATATAAATATCCTATAATCCTAATCAGTGAGTATAATGAAATTTGGTACATGAGTGGTTAGCTACAGGGCTTATACATATTCTATTTCAACCTTGGCCTTATTTCCTCACACTCTGAACACAATACAGAAAGTACGAATAGTTAATGAATAGCTTGTCCACACTGCAGAAGGTACTGATGGGTTTTCAATGACCTAAAAAGGGAACACTTGTCCACACTACAGAAAGTATTGATGGGTTTTCAATGACCTAAACAGGGAACATTTGTCCACGCTGCAGAAGGTACTGATGGATTTTCAATGACCTAAACAGGGAACACTTGTCCACGCTGCAGAAGGTACTGATGGGTTTTCAATGACCTAAACAGGGAACACTTGTCCACACTACAGAAAGTATTGATGGGTTTTCAATGACCTAAACAGGGAACACTTGTCCACACTACAGAAGGTATTGATGGGTTTTCAATGACCTAAACAGGGAACACTTGTCCACACTGCAGAAGTTATTGATGGGTTTTCAATGACCTAAACAGGGAACACTTGTCCACACTACAGAAGGTATTGGTGGGTTTTCAATGACCTAAACAGGGAACATTTGTCCACACTACAGAAAGTACTGATGGTTTTCAATGACCTAAACAGGGAACACTTGTCCACACTACAGAAAGTATTGATGGGTTTTCAATGACCTAAACAGGGAACACTTGTCCACACTACAGAAAGTATTGATGGGTTTTCAATGACCTAAACAGGGAACATTTGTCCACGCTGCAGAAGGTACTGATGGGTTTTCAATGACCTAAACAGGGAACACTTGTCCACGCTGCAGAAGGTACTGATGGGTTTTCAGTGACCTAAACAGGGAACACTTGTCCACACTACAGAAAGTATTGATGGGTTTTCAATGACCTAAACAGGGAACACTTGTCCACACTACAGAAGGAATTGATGGGTTTTCAATGACCTAAACAGGGAACACTTGTCCACACTACAGAAGGTATTGATGGGTTTTCAATGACCTAAACAGGGAACACTTGTCCACACTGCAGAAGTTATTGATGGGTTTTCAATGACCTAAACAGGGAACACTTGTCCACACTGCAGAAGGTATTGATGGGTTTTCAATGACCTAAACAGGGAACATTTGTCCACACTACAGAAAGTATTGATGGGTTTTCAATGACCTAAACAGGGAACATTTGTCCACACTACAGAAGGTATTGATGGGTTTTCAATGACCTAAACAGGGATGGGTTTTCAATGACCTAAACAGGGAACATTTGTCCACACTACAGAAGGTATTGATGGGTTTTCAATGACCTAAACAGGGAACACTTGTCCACACTACAGAAGGTATTGGTGGGTTTTCAATGACCTAAACAGGGAACATTTGTCCACACTACAGAAAGTACTGATGGTTTTCAATGACCTAAACAGGTAACATTTGTCCACACTACAGAAATTATTGATGGTTTTTCAGGGTTAGAACTAAACCTTAAAGTGCCACTAGCCCTTCAGGCTAGTAGCCTTCAACTATCACTAGCCCACAAACAAAACAAGTAGTCCATTGATAATGAAATTAACTTTCATTGCTTTACTGTTGCATATAACAAATGATGTAATTTACTCTTTACTCGTTCAACACCAGTCAGCACAAGAGTTTTTTACTGCTATGACACCGAGTTTCCAGAGACTCTGAGGTCATAGATGAAGCCTCTGTTTATCAAGGAAAATACCAGCTTGTAAAACACTATTGCTACTACATGTCATACACCATTTGGAAGATCTAATCCTACTGTTTATAAATATGAAAGTTTTTTTATCATATAATTCAAATAGTATAAGTTAATTTATAATGAAAATGCAAGCTTACACATTTTTAATGTCCAGATAAACCACGAAGGAAGAAACACATGTGGCAATTTTTTCAATTTGTAACATGATATATAGTATCCCCTAAACGTTTTCTTTTATATTTTCATTTTTACGTAATCAGAACATTATTAAAAAAAGATTTCTGAAATAACACGTATGGCTTTCAATGGCTTTCTGCTCAGTAACGTGACACAACAGCGGGAAGTACCTCCGTTTTCGAAGCTTCGAAAGAATAATATGTGAAGCGTTTCGTTTGATGGTCGGTATCGTTCGAAAGCTCTGAACATCAACAACTGTACCTTTGCCAAGAGTATTTTCACGGTTGTTAGAAGCGATTTTATCTATTTTATGGTTTCTAATGACGCTTTTTTTGCCACAGTCTGCTATAAAGATGGTGATTGGTCAATATCATGCACATGGCCTAAGGCAGCCAATCATATGTCAGCAATGGATATCGTCGTCGTAAACGAAAACTTTGAGACTTGGGCCAAAGAATTTTGTTGTCCGTCCGTCCGTCCATGCACATTTGTCTTTTCCGGAGCAAAACTCTAAAACCGTTCAATATTTCTTCACCAAACTTGGCACATATATAGATCTGGTGGTGTACTGGTGCCTTTTGGTAGGTTTGGAATTCTGAATAAAATATTTTTGGCGTTTCCATGGCCAAGAGTTTGACTTAGCCTGAAATTGGTGGTAGTACACTTTTCCGGAGCTGAACTCTAAAACCGTTCACTATTTCTTTACCAAACTTTGCACATAGATTTGTCTGGTGGTGTACTGGTGCCTTTTGGCAGTTTTGGAATTCTGAATAAAATATTTTGGCATTTCCATGGCAACAAGTTTGACTTAGCCTGAAATTGGTGGTTGTGCTCTTTTCTGGAGCAGAACTTTAAACACCTTTCAATACTCTCCTTCCACTTTTCTATATACACACCTTAATATTTGACATAAACATAACTCGTAGACATAATCATGAAGAGTATTTTGCCATTGAGGGGGATATTGATGACTTTGTCTTCTTGTTGACATTTCCATGGCAACAAGTTTGACTTAGCCTGAAATTGGTGATAGTGCTGCTTTCTGGAGCAGAACTTTAAAAACCTTTCAATACTCTCCTTCCACTGTTCTATATACACACCTAAATATATGACATAATCATAACTCGTAGACATAATCATGGAGAGAATTTTGCCATTGAGGGGGGTATTGATGACTTTGTCTTCTTGTTTTGAATGTGTTACGCCAAAAATCACCACCTAAACGTACATTATTGAACTTAGTGGACGCATCATGCTGCTGGGTTATGACCTGTGACAAAAATGCTTCATGCATATATTTTAGCATTAAACATCATGTCCGAGAGTGAAGTTCGAGATGTCACTTGACTTACACTGCACAATCACACAAAAAAGATGGAAATAGTAACTTATAACGTACGTTTGACAACTTTTTTGAATATGGTTGTTGATTCTATTCTTTAGTTTTCTTCAATTTGTTTAATTATTTCCTCGAAACATCGTTACTTTGATCTTTGACAACTTTGATGTGGACCCGCTGCCGAAGCATTTATGAGAGGCATTTGCATAAGATAGTTATACTCTATCAGGGCCGGTAGTAAATAACTGAATGCGTGGAAATGGATAACTAAAACTGCCAAGTGTTATGAGAGGCATTTGTTGCGAGGTTATAATTCATCAGATAGCTATGCTCTATCAGGGCCAGTTGTAATGAATAGAAGGTGTATAAATGGATATATAAAATTGTCAGTTTTGCACGCTCTTTCCAACCTAAAACAAGAGGTATAGCGAGGGACCTCCATCATGTTTTTAATAAAGTGACACGATGTACGTAGATGTTATCTTGGAGTTCGGCAATGTTGGATTCACTAGTCTGGTGGTGAGAGTTGAAAATGGATGATCTCAATCATTGCAGTATTTGATGAATAATCATTGAAAAAACTAGTAGTCCTCCTGACTAGTGCAAGTTTTTTTTCCATTCGCCCGACTAAATTTTTACTCGCCTCGGGCTTGCGGGCCAGCGTAAAGATCGAACCCTGTTTATTAATGACCTAAACAGGAAACGCTTGTCCACACTGCAGAAGGTATTGATGGTTTTTGAATGACCTAAACAGGAAACACTTGTTCACAATACAGAAGGTGTCGATGGTTTCAGAATGACTTGACTGGTGAACACTCTTGCATCATGCTGAAGGTGCTTGCTGAAGATTTAGATGACATTGGAGGGAGGGATACAACCTGGCTTCCTGCGTTCAGGAAAGGTATTGTTGTTAATATGATGTATGACATTCATTCATCACTGTGTCATCATTCATAGCCCGTGTCCCAAACCATAAAATGGGTCTGCCTTAAATTTTTTAGTGATTGCTATATCTCATGGCCTGTTTCAGTGACCAGGTTCATTTGTCAGGTTCAACTCAGGCTCTTTTGCAATAGTTTTAAGTTTTACGTAAGTTTTTGTACTTTGACCATAGTGAAAGCTTCTTATGGCCATTACTCAGGCAGTTTCCAAAAACTCCAAAACTCTACGTTCTGTTGGGAGCTTTGATAATATGGCAGGGAAGTGTCATCTCATTACTTGCAACTTCCTGCAATTCATAAAGATAAATAGAAGTGTGTATGTTTTCTTAAATGACAGTCTTATGTGATTGTCAGCCTGATAGTTATTACTGGTATGAAATTACAACCATTGCAGGGCTTTTTGTTATTTGGCTTAATGCTTTCTTTGTAATTAATTTTCAGATTTCCTCCGTCGATTTGTGTCCCTGTTATCATATCAGTTCCGCAGATTTCACCCATCCCTGGCCCTCAACATCCTAAGTGAAAAAGGAGCCAAACTGGAATCAGGTCATTCATGTTTTCCTGTTGTCAAGGTTTTGAATAATAATCAGCAACAAAATAGTCATGCTTTCAAGTGAATTGGGGATGGCATGTGTGCGTGCGTATGTGCATGTGTGCCTGCATGTGTTTTCTCACTGCTGGGCTAACAAAAGCATATTGGAACATAATTGCTTGTGTTGGGTGACACCACATGTTTTGACATTTGCTTTTTGTGGGTATGTATTTGTGTTATCATGTGGTCATCAACCAATGGATCAGCTGACTCTTATAGTACACAAGTTTAGTGTACTTTGCAACACCATAAAGAACTGAAAACTTTGCTGCTCAGTAGGCTAAATATATCAACCTGGTCACTTGTATGATACGATCCAGAACCTGGTTGTTGCTAGCCTGATGCATTATGGGGCTGCTCATTCACTCTGGCCTATCATATTCCTAGCTATTCGAGAGTACCTTCCTTGATCGAGTGATCAAATTTTGCACTAGCAATGATTGATGTTGAATTAAGTGACCATTTTTCACTAGATTAGTGTAAGAAACATTCCTATAGTATTTGCATCGATCATGGGTGTAAATATATCCTCATGGAGATCAAGATATGCGTGAGACAAGAGGTGTGAAACAAAGCTATCATGTTGACGACTATCAAGGAGAACATAGAGGCCAACCATGGAGTTGGGATACAGAATATGTACTGGCATCACAACACTCACTTTACTCATGCTGGCAAGTCATTGTGCTTACAGACTGTATATTGCCACAGATAATCAGCTCTACAAATGTAATATATTTCCGCATTCTGATAATTTACATTGTCAAATTGAAATCTGGGCTTATGATCATACAAAGGGAGCATGATAGAAGACACGACCATCATGTTGGACCCAATGTTGTAACTGATCATGGCCGGAGACATTGAGCTGAAAAAATGACAAATGAAAATTATTTAAGAGGAAATTCCTTGTTAGTGTTTGGTATACCTATGAACAAAATAGAGGACATCCGAATGAAACCTAAATCATTGTACAAAACTTTATGAAAAAATTTAGATCAGCTGTATATAAGCCCTGTGCAGAAAGTCCAAGAGATACATGTCAACTTCAGTCAATATTGTTCACAAAAGAATCTTTATATGTTGATATATTGTTATAAAGAATTTGATTCTTGTAATTTTATTGTTTAAGTCATATTTCTTATATCTGGTTCTTCTTCAAACTTTGTTTCTATGAGATGCTTTCTGAAGGAAGAACTGGAAACCTTTTCCCTTGTAATCACTTTCAACCATTTCTACGAATATATTGGTATATTGATTCAAGAACAGTGTCTTGTTCATTACTCTGTGTTGATGTGTTTGTGCAGGTAGTATCAGCCGTGCTGTGCTTGACATGAACCTGAGCAAGTATGACATGAGAAGATTGGAGCTGTATGCCCAGAACATGGTAGACTATCACCTCATCATGGATCTTGTGCCAGTTATTGCCAAACTAGTGTTTCTGGGTCAAGTCAAGATCCATCTGAGTGCAGTACAGTCAGTAAGTAAATCTTTACATTACATTTGTTGTCTAGGATCAAACTTCACATTGTCAGGACAATAAATTTGGAGGGAGTCCTAAGTTGGTCCCAATACATTTCGGTTTGAATAAAATATGTTTATTCAAATGAATAAAAAATGTTAGGTGCAGATGTTTGAGAATTGTTGTGACAACGACAGGAATAAGGAAAGTAGGTTTGAGACAACTTATATTGTCATGTTTCAGGGTCTGCTGCTGGGTCTAGGGCTGCAGCATAAGACTGTGGATGATTTGGAGAAGGAGTTTGAGCTTCCTACAAGTCAGCTCCTAGCTCTATTGAATAAAGTCATTCGAAAAGTGTCCAAGGTATGTCTGTAATTTCCATTCCATGAAAACATATCTGTTCTTTTAACCCCCTGGGTGCCAGAGTGACATATATGTCCTTCCTCTTCAACCCTCACTTTGAAGTCCAATAAAATTCTGAATATTTCATGCACACACAATAATACACTTCACAGTTTCATATTCTGTGGGAAATTATCTGATTCTTGATACCATCCACTATTATCTTAGCCAAAACTAAAGTGCGGTAAGAGGCCTTTCAAAATTGACTTCATCGTAAATGTCACCTTTTTTTACACATTACAAAATGGCGATTCACAGCGTTGTTTGGTGTATGTTTTGAAATGTAAAAAATCGCATAATTACTCGGAGTATTGAATTTCAAAAATGGCATATTAATGATCACTGATATCAGTTTTTCATGAAATCACTAATGATAATTCTGAAATGTTGCCGCTGAACCCAAAATTGGTTGGAATGTTTTCGAAATTAACACAAACACCAAAATGTGCTTTCCGCCATATTGGATTGTGTTTACAAAATCACGTTTCGCAAAGGCCGGTATTGAGACGCCTATTACATCACGTATATTTTATAGTCAGCTGCGGCAAATGCATCGCCGACTTACTCACACGTTTTAGTATCAAATAAGAAATGGTCTTTTTCAACAAAACCAAGTGTGTAGGTGAAATGAATAAAAATTATATTAGGTGTGAAAATGAACGCTGTGCGCGAAAGACAGCACTTGTTTGAAATGTAAACAAAGAAAAATTCAGACTATACAATGTGTAGCATTTTCTCAAATTTTCAGACAACCAATTTTTAAACTTATCCTATCTCACGGTATGCACCTCTCCTCTTCTTCTACGACTATGTGTGGAAACGTGCTGTAGGATAAGTTGAATCAAATCTTGCTGGCCTCTGACCTGCCCTGACCTCTGCCCCCACTCCGACATCAGCACCTGTCAATCATCTCCATAAGCGTGGAGTTCGCTCAGATGATCATGTGACTACCTGTGCCTGTCATTCTCTTTCTTGTCGCTACGTCGTGTGGACGTGTTCTTGTTTCTAAGAAAGTTTGATTGCGTTTCCAACAATGGGAAAATCTAATCGCAGTGGTTCTAAGAAGCGTAAACATTGTGATAATTGTAAAAGTAACTTCTCGGCAGCATATCCACATGCCTTGTGTGTTGACTGCTTGGATCGGTGTGAGTGGTCGCATCGTTGTACTTTTTGTGCAGACCTCAACGACAATGATTTCTCTGAATATCGCCGGGTGGCTTGCATGTCAGATAGGGATCGTCAAAGAACATCTGAGGGTCTGTCTGCGTCTAAACGTCTTAAGGCAGATCGCCGTAAGAAAACTGCAGTTCGTTGTTTGAAGTCCCCGTCTCCTAATGAAGAGTTCCTAGGGGAGGCGTCGGATTCTTACCTCAGTGAAAACTTACGACAACTTTTCCGACCGCATGCCTCTAACCCCATCACTTTGGAAGACTCTTCTCCACCTAGGGTTGTCGTGTTATCTACATCTTCTCCTCAGCCCTGTCCGTCTTCGGTGATACCTTTCCCTCAGTGCTCTTCGGGTCCTGAGGTGGGGTTTTCTGGTGCGGCGCTTGGTGTGATTCCTAGCATTACATCTCAAGTGCCGCTTCCTTGCAGTGCGGCGCTTGCCACTTTGGTGGTTGTTACTACGTCTGTTTCCCATTCGGTGCTTGCGTCGAATGTGTCACTTGCTTTGGGTACAGGGGATAGTTTTGATGCGGCGCTTTGTCATCCTCTGGTGGGGTTGACAAGTGTGTCGATGGTTCCCAGATTACCTTTTTCCGCTTCTATCCCGTATCCTGTACCGTTTGGTTATGGGCCACCACATTATTCTAGTGCGCTGCTTACCTCTCAAGCACCGCTTACTTCAGGTCAGGTACCCGTGGGTAGAGCGCCGCTTGTTGCCGATCACATGATGTCATTCAGAGCGCCGCTTGTGTCCAATTCGGCGCTCTTGTTTGCCCCCGGTTCGGCGCATACTACTGGTGCTCCCAGATCGGCGCTTCCACCCGGTGTTCCCGGTTCGGCGCTTCCTCCCGGTGCTCCAAGTTCGGCGCTTACTCATGGGGGTTTTGATTCGGCGCTTAATCCCGGTGCTCTCAGTTCGGCGCTAATTCATGCAGGCTTGGGTTCGTCACTTCCTCATGGTGCTCCCGGTGCGGCGCATACTCACAGTATTCCCGGTTCAGCGCTTGCTCCCGGGGCTCTTGGTTCGGCGCTTACTCATAGTACTCCTGGTTCAGCGCTTCCTCATGGTGTTCGTGCTGCGGTGCTTGTCATCCTCTGGTGGGGTTGACAAGTGTGTCGATGGTTCCCAGATTACCTTTTTCCGCTTCTATCCCGTATCCTGTACCGTTTGGTTATGGGCCACCACATTATTCTAGTGCGCTGCTTACCTCTCAAGCACCGCTTACTTCAGGTCAGGTACCCGTGGGTAGAGCGCCGCTTGTTGCCGATCACATGATGTCATTCAGAGCGCCGCTTGTGTCCAATTCGGCGCTCTTGTTTGCCCCCGGTTCGGCGCATACTACTGGTGCTCCCAGATCGGCGCTTCCACCCGGTGTTCCCGGTTCGGCGCTTCCTCCTGGTGCTCCAAGTTCGGCGCTTACTCATGGGGGTTTTGATTCGGCGCTTAATCCCGGTGCTCTCAGTTCGGCGCTAATTCATGCAGGCTTGGGTTCGTCACTTCCTCATGGTGCTCCCGGTGCGGTGCATACTCACAGTATTCCCGGTTCAGCGCTTGCTCCCGGGGCTCCTGGTTCGGCGCTTACTCATAGTACTCCTGGTTCAGCGCTTCCTCATGGTGTTCGTGCTGCGGTGCTTGATTCGTTGGTTGATTGCGGTTGGTTGATTCGTTGCTTCCTCAGGGTTCAGCGCTTACCTCTCATGTGTCTAGTTCGGCGCTGGGTCCACTCAGTTCAACCTTTGCTGTCAGTGGCCGGGACCTTCCGGCTTCATCGTTGCCTCATGGGGTGTGTCTCATGGGGTGTGTCAGCTGGAGGTCCGTCTTCTCTTAGTGAGGTGCCTCGTCATCTCTCGGTATCGGCTTCTGTTTCATCGGTTCCTCCTATAACGGGAACAGTGCCCAGACCCATTTTACTGGTATCCGGAATCCGGGGTCTGAAGTTTCGCGTTCTCAACCTCTGGACTTTGATGCTATTGTGCTAGCGGTAGCGTCAAAGTTACGACAGCAGGTGCCAGCATCTTCCTATGCTAATCAGTCATCAGGTCCTTCGACTACTCCAGCACCTCCATTAGAGGAGGTTCATCGTTCGACGACGCCGTCTCCTTCGTCGGATGGTACTGCAAGATCCAATGGTAGCATGGATGCTGTTGACACGCCTCAACTACTTGTCTGGATTGCCGATAGCCTTCGTTTACAGCGTAGTAGCTCATCGGCGGATTTATTATCCAGTTTTGACATGAAGCCAGGTGACTTTGGCTCTATCACGTTCCCGCCTTGACCGTGTATTACTCAATTGGCAGCGTCTCTGGATGAGGCTTTTGGTAACCTGAGGAAGGTTAAGGATGGGTTCGCGGCTCCTCGCTTCAATTTAGCATCTGCTCATGTTCATGGTTTCTCTACGCTAATCATCTCCCCTCTGGTGGATGATGATATGACATTGCTAGGGACTAAACAGAAAGCCTACTCGCCGTTCCTGGTTGAGGATCATGAGCTTTTGCATTTGGATGGTGTCATAAGGAAGATTATGGCTCCACTCAACATGGTGTTGACGATTAACGAAGCGGTGGCTATGTCGGTTGCGCATGCTACTTCCCATCAACAAGCGTATATTCGAGCAGCTATGGTCTTATTGCAAGAGCAATTCCCGACCATGCTAGATCAGTTAGCTCACTTCTTTCTGTACATCACAGCTGTGCGTCGCAGGGGGCCTTTGCACTTATCCTCTTGGGAGGATCGGTTCCGTACTGATCTCTTTCGGCAGCCATGGTCTGGCAGGTCTTTGTTTAATGGGGCTGTTAGAGATGTCGCCAACAGAGTGTCAGTGGAATTGTTGAAGTTCCAGCATTTGCAGGTGGAGGAATCGTTGCGCCAGCGACGGCCAGCCCGTTATGTCCTTGTGAATCCTGACCTTCGTGCGGGTCCTGCTGCTTCCTTTCGTGGAAAAGGATCCTTTGGCAGAGGACGACTCAACCATCAATGTCGGGCATCCACTGCTTCACGATCAGCTTCCGCTTCCGACCAACCCACTTCGCAAAGACCTGACAAACAGTAACTTGAGGACATTAGCAGGCGAATTGGTTCTTCCACCTCCAGTCGTGCCCATTCTGACTTCCCCAGTAGGCGGCCGGCTTGGGACTTCGTCCTCTCCATGTTGTCCATGGGTTTTCAGCTGCCACTCATCGGGGATCCTCCTCTCACTTTACTTCCGGATTGCATAGACACCTTACTCAAGAAACTTGCGATCGAATCCCTGGGTCCGGCTCCAACCGGCCCGGGGTTCTATTCTCCAATCTTTCTGATCCCCAAGAAGGATTTGGACAAACTGAGGTTAATCTTCAACATGAAGATTTTCAAGGATAGGTTTTTGCAGCCTCCGCCCCATTTTCGCATGGTATCGGCACTCCTCAAGACCATTATCAAGCTGGGAGATTTCATGGTCAGTTTGGATCTCCAGGATGTGTACTTGAACATCCCGATCTTCCCGGCTCATCGCAAGTTCCTTCGGTTTGTCTTCGAGGGCACCCACTATCAGTGGCGTGTCCTCCCGTTTGGAATTTCTTCGGCCCCATGGCTGTTTACACGGGTAACAAAGCCTATCACCAGCTTCCTTCACTTCAAGGGGATAGTGTTCGAAGCTTACAATGACGACTGCATTCAGGCGCAGACCTATCATGCCCTTCTGCTTCGTCACATGCAGTTTGCGATACAGCTTCTTCACCAGTTAGGCTGGTTAATCAATCTGCAGAAATCGGAGCTAGCCCCTACGCGCCGTCTCCAATTCATTGGAGCAGTGTTC